ACACACTAAAACATTCTGAATGTCTCTACTTGTGTTTTTGTTTTTTAAGATTTATTTGTTTTGAGAGGCAGGGTGATATGGAAAGAACAGGCAAAGGGGTCTCCCATCCACCATGCCAGGCAAACTTTTTGAAGACATACTTGCAATCAAAGGACTGTTTTATCACAGGAGGGCTATTCTTTCTTTCTTCTTTTTTTTTTTTTTAAGATTTATTTATTTATTGGAAAGTCAGATATACAGAGACGAAGGAGAGACAGAGAGGAAGATCTTCCGTCCGATAATTCACTCCCCAAGTGAGCGCAACGGCCAGTGTTGCGCCGATCTGAAGCCGGGAACTAGGAACCTCCTCCAGTTCTCCCACACGGGTGTTGGGTCCCAAGGCATTGGGCCATCCTCAACTGCTTTCCCAGGCCACAAACAGGGAGCTGGATGGGAAGTGGAGCTGCCGGGATTAGAACCAGTGCCCATATGGGATCCCGGGGCGTTAAAGGCGAGGACTTAAGCTGCTAGGCCACACTGCCGGGTCCAGGAGGGCTATTCTTTCACGAAGATTTGTAGTCTGTGCCTTTTCTCTGTTTAGAGAGACCTAGGAATTGGATTCTAAAGGCCTTAGAACATTTGCTGCGAGTAGTGACCTGGGCTTCTCAGCCTGCAGTGGGTGGGTACAGGAAAAATGCCTCCCAGCTTTACCAGTTAGGGGACCCAAGTACTAACTACTGACTTTAAGAACAGAAAAAAAGTGGCCAGCAGCCTCTTCCTGCAGCACCAGCATCCCAAATGTGTGTTGGTTTGTGTTCCAGCTGCTCTACTTCCAATCCAGCTCCCTGTTCATGGCCTGGGGAAGCAGCAGTAGAGGATGGCTCAAGTCCCTGGGCCTCTGCACCCACATAGGAAACCCAAAAGAAGTTCTTGAATCCTGCCTTCAGACTAGCTCAACTCTGGCTGTTGCGGCCGCTTGGGGGTGTGAATCAACAGATGACGGATCTTCTTCTCTGTCGCTCCTCCTTTCTGCATATCTGACTTTCCAACAAAAATAAAACAAATCTTTTTTAAAAAGAAAGAAGGGCCCAGGGAGTTCATTCTCAGGGACTGGATGGACGGACCTCCCGGCAGCATGGCGGCTGCTGGGGGCATCTGAACCAGGTCACACTCAGTGCTTGGGACCCTAGCCCCAGCCACCACTGCCAACTGCTGGATGAGTTCAGGCCCACAGCACCAACTGGTGTCGGGCTTCGGCCGATGGCCTTCTGGCAGTGAGCTCTGGGTTCCTAAGAGGGTGGAATTACTGCCCAGGGACATCCATGGATAAGGCCACTGTATGGTTATATCAGGAATGGATCCCGAGGGACTCTCAATGACAGAGCCACTGTACTTGCAGGTAAGCGAGGAGATTGAGGCCTGGTGGTTTGGAGGGGAGAGACCAGAAGATCTTTATGGGTCAGACTGATATACCAGCCCACATGGGAGTCCTATGTAGGGCTTGTTAGTATGGAACATTGCTGAGTACCACATGCCAGTCTACGTGAAAGGTAGGGCAGATGGCCTATCTAGCAGGGCTAGACCCCAGTACCAGACTGAATGTCAGAACAGGGAATAGGTCACATTAGGCAGGGTAGTGTCACCAACCAGTATGCGAGAGAACCAGGTCTGAGGGTAGATTCTGTGGAGGATATGCGGGCCATACCCTATAGAAATACAAGTACCATTTGTTAGCTCAAGAGTTGGGGTGATGATGGGCTGAGCTAGGTGTGACCAGGGAGCCTGCCACACTCACAGGTGTAGGGACTGAGAATAGTATGGGCAGGTCCAGGCTGTAGCACTCACATGCACACCCTAAAACAGGGTGTTGGGCGGCCAGGCCACAACATTCACCAGCTCATGCTAGGCTGAGATGGAGGAACAGGCTATGCTGGACAAGGGCCTAGCACCCACTGGCATGTGTGAGATCTGGGTCAGGGAGTGGACTGAGTGGGAGAAAGTGGGAAACTCCCCTAGTGCGTCATAGCTCCTTCCACTGGTGGGCACGCGATCCAGGTCTGGGGGTCAGGCAAGCTGGGCAAGGGAGCTCCAACTGATGGCAAATGTGTGGGTTGGCTTTGGAAGGGGGATGGACCAGGCAGGGCTGAGCAAACCTTAGCTCACCAGTAAGTGGAGAAACCAGGCTGAGGCGCAGGTCATGCCGGGTTGGGCTGCCACACCTACTCGTTTGCATGAGCCAGAGATGGGAACAGACTGAGCAGGGTCAGGTTCCAGTACCGGCCTGGGCCCAGCAAACCATAGCTCATTGGCAAGTGCAGAAATCAGGATGGAGTGCAGGTCATGCCGAGCTAGGCTGTTATACCTTCTTGTTTGCATGAGCAGGGATGAGAGCAGACTGAGCAGGACCAGGTTGCAGCACCTGCCAGTGACAGTTGGGACTGGGGGCTGGCCAGGCTGGGCCAGGCTACATCATCCAAAGGCAAGGGCCGAGACAGGTGAGGGACTATGCCAAGTTGGGTCAGAGCAACCACTGGTACATGCAAGATCTATGGCTGGGAACAGGCCTGGTTGGGGAGCTAAGGGGACACTCTGGCTTGTGGTTCCCACTGGTGAGTGTGAAGGCCAGAGGGGCAGCTGCTATCTGGTCTGGACATGGCTGCAGTGTCCCTTGGCACAAGTATGGACTGGGTCTGGGGTGCACTTACTGAGCTAGACCTTTGCACCCACTAGTGCTCATGAGAACCAGGGCAGGTGTAGGACAAGCTAGGCTAGGTCTCTGCCTCTGCTGAGCATGTGTGAGCTGTGTCTGGGAGTAGACCAGCCTTGGCTGGGCTGTAACACTCAACAGTGAAAACCGGAATGGGTGAGAGTCAGTCAGGAGAGGCCACTGTTCCTGCTAGGACAGGAGGTGGACTAAGCAGGGTTGGCTCATGGATCCACCAATGGGCTTGAGATCTGATATTGGGAGAGGCCTCATGGAGGAAATTGGGGAACTCCTCCGTCAGGACACAGTCCCTACAGGTGAGCACAAAAATCATGATAGGGAGCAGCCCAGACCAGGCCAGGGAATGGTACCCACTGGCATACATTTGGCTCAGGTTGGGGGTGAACTAGGCTGGGCCAGTCCATACCACCCACTGGTAAATTTGAGAGCCTGCATGGAGTATGGGTCAGCCCAGGTTTGGTAGCAACACATTCCAATTCATATGAGAGTCAGAACTGGGACCTGGCTGGGCTGGGCTAGGCTGTAGCCTCCACCAGTGTGAACTGGAACTGGGGTGGGCCTGGCCTAGCCAGGCTACAACATCCACTGGTAAATGCCAATGTGAGGTGGGCCATGCCAGACTGGGCCACAGCACCCAATTAGCACACATGAAATCAGGTGGGGAGGGGGCAAGGCCGGTTGGGGGGCTGTCAGGAACTCTCCTGCTGGACTACCGCTCCACTGGAGAGCGTGAGTTGGAATGGGGGGCAGGTCAGGCTGGGCTGGACAAGGCTACAACACCTGTTGGACTCATGTGAGCTGGATTAGGGAAATGCCAGGCTGGGCTGACTGCTTCTTGTGATGCACAGATAAGTCAGAGTGGGTGTGGGCTGTCTGAGCTTTGCCACAGCATCAGCTGGCAGATGCTGGCATGGGAGGCTGTTAAGGTAAACTGCAGGACCACCTGGAGAGTGCCAGAACTGGGAATGGGCCCAGTAGGAAAATAGTGGGCACCTCCTTCTTGGGTCGCTACTCTGACTGGTGAGCTTGAGAACCAGGACTGGGTCGACAGGCATGACAAGACAGAGTAACACCCGCTGGCACGTGTGTGGGCTGGATAGTGGGATCGGTTGGGTTGAACTAGGTTTCAATGCCCATTGACATGCATGAGAGCTGAAGAGGGTGTGGGACAGACTGGAGCAGTCTGATGTCTATACTGGCAAGCACGGGAGTCAGGGCAGGGGCAGGATTGATGGGGGTTATTGCGAGTCACTCTGACCAGGCAGCCACTCCCACTGGTGCCTGTGAAGGCCGAGTATGCAGTGGGCAGGATTGGGCCAGCTGCAACAGCCATTGGTTTGTGTAGAAGACAGAACTGACAGAACTGGTTTGTGGAAGCAGAACTGACCCAGCAATTGCAACCACCAGCATTTACATAAGCTGACGGACTGTGCTGATTGGGGTGACGGACCCTGTACTGGCAAGTACACACAAGAATCAGGTCTGGGATCACCTCAGATGAAGTTTCTTTGGGGATTCCAGCTGAATCATTGGTCTTAGAACCCCAACCATGAAGAGAATTGTGGGTTCCATGGTATGACTGTGGAGTGTATGTGTCAGAGCTGGGCCTCCTCAGTGGCTCAGACGGAGCAGTGGACAGCATATCCAGGTGCACATGGAGGATATGGCAGTACGTTGGAGTCTGCAGAGGACACCTGGTACCACAACAGAGCACAGGGGACAGAACGAATCAATCAACTGCCCCAGCCAAGAGCTGGCAGGGAATATCTGGGCAAATGGAGACTCTAAGGTGGACTGTGTCAGCCAGTGGGTTCTGGAGATTTCATCGTGCTTTGGAGTGGCGAGACTGTTAAGTTGAACTACCGAAACCTCTTGAGCACGGCCCTCAGAGCATGCCCCACAAGGGACCCTGGGATGGTGTCGGGTAGCTGTCCTCCCTCCCAGTTGCAGAGGTGTTTTGGAGGCTGAGTGTGGCTTCTCTCCTTATCTCCCTCTTTTCCCTAGATGCAGGAAGGAAGGAAAAAAGGAGAATGTGGAAATGGTGATCTCACCACCTTCCTGTAGCCCTTGACCCTCATCACCCTAATTAACTATGTAAAAATCATCCAAAAAATTAAAAGAGAGAGATTTTTTTCTCTTTGAAATATAGAAACCAGACGTTACACAGATAGGACCCACGGGGTCAGAAGGCAAAGGGCTGCGGCTCGGGGCGCGCCCCAGGCTCGCGGCCACCTGACGGCCGGGCAGGCGCGGCGGCGCGCCGGGGCGGGGCGTCCAGGGCCGGGCGGCGGCGCAGGCGCACTGCGCTCGGCGCGCGGAACTGCAGCTATGGAGCAGCCACCCCCGGACCCCGAGCGGCAGCTGCAGCCGGCGCCCCTGGAGCCGCTGGGCAACCCCGACGCTGGGCTGGAGGCTGCGGGCGGCGAGGCCGCGGACGGGGCCCGCCAAGAGGGCCGCGGGGCCGACACGGTGAGGAGGAGCGGCGGCCCAGGGCTGGGGGCCTGTGTCCGGGCCTAGCGGGCTGGCTGGGCTGGGCTGGGCTGGCGGAGGCTGAGGGGCTCGGCCTGGGGGGCCTGCGGGGGCGGCAGGGCAGGAGGGCGGGGACGCGGCTGCTGCGGGCCGGAGGCTGCGTGCGGGGAAGGGGGCGTTAGCGCGGTGGGGAGTCGGGAAGGCGCGGGTGTCCACGGTCCAGAAGTCTGTCCTGACCCCGAGGGCAGCCCGGGTACACCCTGCAATCCTGGGAGGTGAGGTGGTGGAGGCTTGAGAGGGAAGGAAGTGGGGGACAAGAGTGAGGCTCCCCTAGTGGGGCTGGTGGGGGTATGCCGGGGTGGTTGATCCCGTGCTGCCATCCTTCAGGAAACTGAAGAATGTGTCAGGCTCAGGAGAAGGCAGAACGGAAGGAACACCTTTGCAACAGCTTAGTTGGCTTTAGTTTCATATGTATGTGTGTGTATAATTGGAAAGGCAAATTTTAAAAGCAGAGATGAAAAGATCTTCCATTTGCTGGTTCACTTCCCAAACGTCTGAGCTGATCTGAAGCTGTGAGCCAGGAGCCTCCTCCAGGTCTCCCATGTGGGTGTAGGGTCTCAAGGCTCTGAACCGTCCTCCACTGCTTTCCCAGACCACAAACAGGGAGCTGGAAGAAAGCGGAGCGGTTGGGACTTGAACTGGCAACCATATGGGGTGCTGGCGCTTGCAGGTGGAGGATTATCCTGTAAGTCACTGTGCCGGCTAGGGATGTGGGAGATGGCCTATATTCCATGTATTTACCTGCTTTACAACTCTCGCTTGGTACTGATTTCCACTTGCTAGAAGAAAAGGAGGGGAGAAAAAGATCCTGTTGTTTGCTTTCTAGTGTTATCACGTGAGGTATGGGGTTTGCAGTGTGTTATTCTCATCTAGTCATTTTCTGCCTTTTTTTTTCTGGAACTCATGGTAGGCCTGACATCAAACTGCCCATTCTCACGTTGAATAAAGCCAAATTGTCCCTTGAACGTTGCAAGTCCAGAGACCTGCTGACCACAGACTTCCATTCGGTAGTTAAAACTTTTGCCAACTTTTAAAAATATTGAAGTAGAGAAAGTAATAGGAAAACTTTGTTCTTAAATTTTTTTAGGGTGTAATGTTGTAATTTTTTCTTGAAAGTAAAAACAATTTTCCCAAAGCTATGGAGACAGCATTATGCCCCTGCCTCGCACGCACTGAACCTTCTGTGGGCTCACAGCCCACACCTGAGCCTTTGCTATGATGTCAGGAGCTGGAATCAGACTGCGATGGGTGTCTTCACTTCCAGAATGCTCTGTGTCTCTCATGATCGCTCCTCTCTCTTTAGCACTGGGGAATCTTCCATTGTTTGAACATACCCCGGGTTACTGATCCACTCATTGGTACATCTTGGTATTTAGGAGTAAGTGGCCAGGCGCAAGCTTCGGGGTGGACCTAAGTTTTTAACTCGGTGGGGTGCATGGTCATCGGGTAGGAGCATGCTTTTGGTGAGGAGCTGCCAGCCTGGCTTCCACAGTGGTTGCAGCATTTTGCCATCCTGCCAGCGATCCACCTGAGTTTTGTAGCTCCTCGCCAGCCTTTGGAGTTGTCGGTGTTCTGTCATGCTTTTGGGGGATCTCCTCGTTTTGATTCGTATTTCCTGGATGACAAGTCTTGGGGACTATTTTTGCATGTGCTTATTTCCTGTCAGTGCATCTTTGGTGCTGTGTCTGCAAAGTTCTTTTGCCTTTTTTTAAAATGAGCTTTTCTTCCATTGTTGAGTTTTACCTTTCCATTTTATTTATTTATTTTTTTTCCTGAATCTACTTGCGGAGTGGTCAGAGGATTTTATATGAAATGTGAGAGAAGTCTAATGCATACATTTGACTTCCATATGACTTCTTTTTCATGTAGATTCTCACTTGTGCCTTAGGAGTCTCTTGAAAACAGTATATATTGCCAACTTTCAACAAGACAGACACAGCTTTCGCAGAACATTGATCGATTCCTTTGAAGCCCCATACGTTTTGTATTCTAGCTCCTTTCATCCACCACAGAATTAGCCACTGTTCTGAATTTTGTATGGGTAATTTTTTTCTTTATTGTGCTACCTAAGTAGTGTATGGGGAGGTCTTTACAAAGGGAATAGAAAAATGTATGTTGTGAGGAAAACTATGCATTTCCATTTTTTTCCCAACAAATAAGCCCGAATCCTATTTTTTTCACAACCTTTAAAAAAAAAGATTTACTTATTTCATTTGGAAAGGCAGATTTACAAAGAGAAGGAGAGACACTAAGAAAGATCTTCCATCTACTGGCTTAGTCCCCACATGTCCACAGTGGCCGGAGTTGAGCTGATCTGAAGCCAGGAGCTTCTTCTGGGTCTCCCATGCAGGTGCAGGGTCCCAAGGCTTTGGGCAGTCTTGAACTGCTTTCCCAGCCACAAGCAGGAAGCTGGATAGGAAGTGGGGTAGTCGGGATATGAACTGACGCTCGTATGTGATGCTGGCCCCTGCAGTCGGAGGATTAGCCAATTGAACAATAGTTCAACCTCTTCAGAAGCATTTTGAATGATTTAGTTTGAGTTGAATTTTGAAACAACTTAAATGGAATAATTGTTCTGTGACTTCTTTTCCTTCAGGATTTATCTAAAATGTAACTGAGTTTATTTGCATGACTGTATACTGTACCACTTTGTAGATACTGCATTTTTTAAAAAGGAATCTCGCACAACTTTTTATTTAATTATTTATTTTTTAAATAACTTTTTATTTGTTTGTATATTTATTTAGAAGCCATGGAGGCATCTCATCTGCTGTGCTCAGTTCCCACATGCCCACAGCAGTCGGCTCTGGGCCCAGGTGAAGCTGAGAGCCAGAACTCCATCCAGGTCTCCCGAGTCGGTGCCAGGAACCCGTTTCCTGCGCCATCCCCTGCTGCCTCCCAGAGAGCCCCGGCAGGAAGCTGGGATCAGGAGCAAAGCCAGGACTGCAATACAGCCACCGGCATATGGGATGGGACTATCCCTGACAGCTTAACCACTGCGTTAAATGCTTGTCCTTCTCTTCTAAATTTAAAAAATTCATCTATTTGAGCCTGGAAATCAATGGGTGGCAGATACCCAAGTACCTGGGCCATCTTTTGCTGTTTTCCCAGGTGCATTAGCAGGAGCTGGCTCAGAAGTAGAGTAGCCAGGACTCAAACTGGCACTACCCTGTGGGATGCTGATTTTACAAATGGCAGCTTAACCTTCTTTGTCGCAGTGCTGGTCAATGCATAATTCCTTGGTGTTCTCCAGTGAGTGACTCCTGTGTCCTAACAGACGTCTTCACTGCTGAGATCATTGCCTATGTCACTGTGAACTTTTTGAAACACCCTCCGATGGCCCTCTGTTTTCCTGCCTGTCGTTCTTTTGCTTTTCCATTGTGATATTAGAAACCCCCAATTTGTGCTTTTTCCCCATGAGGAAGAGGGCTTTCTTTTCTTTTTTTAATTAAACCTTTTGTTTTTAAGATTTATTTATGTTTATTGGAAAGGCGGATATACAGAGAGGAGGAGAGACAGAGAGGAAGATCTTTCATCCGCTAATTCACTCCCCAAGTGACCACAATGGCTGGAACTAAGCCTATTCAAACCCAGGAGCCAGGGCTTCTTCCAGGTCTGCTCTGTGGGGCTGTCCTCAACTGCTTTCCCAGGCCACAAGCAGGGAGCTGGATGGGAAGTGGGGCTGCCGGGGTTAGAACTGGTGCCCATTTAGGATCCTGGCAAGGACTTTAGCCGCTAGGCTACCATACTGTGCTCAAATTAAAAAACAAATTTAAGGCTTTGAGCATTTCTACTTAAAATAATTTGGAAAATGGAAAAATGAAAAGGGAATCATATCTCTTAAGGAGGTAATAATTAGGAGAAGGGAGAGGAAAAAGCAAACAAATTGGAGGAAATACTACTTCTAGGTTGAAAGATTCCATTTAAGTTGCAATTAAGAGGCAGGGATAGGGGCATATTAGTATTTGCCAGACAGGAATTATTTCTTGAAGATTTCTTAAGTGTTATATATATATATATATATATTTTTTTTTTTAATATATAAAATTTTATTTTGACAATCTTTACATAGTTAATTAGGGTAAGAAGGTTCAAGGGCTACAGGAAAGTGGATAATACTAGTATGTTTTCCATATTGTTACCTTCATGTTTAAAGGGGGGTATTAAGGGAGAAGGCCCACCCAATTCCCCACCCTCCCCAGGTCTCGGATGTAGGGCATGCTCTGAGGTTCTTGCTCAAGTGGTTTTGATATTGCAACAGTTATGAATTGCTGCCAATCTTGCCGCTCCAAGCACTGTTAAGTGTTATATATTTAATTAGAGAAACACAAGGAGATCTCTCACACACTGGTTCATCCCCAAATGCCCACAGGATCTGGGGCTGAATCCGGCTCCCTGCTCATGGACTGGGAAGGCAACAGAAGATGGACTGAGTGCTTGGTGCCCTGCACCAACCCAGGAGACACTAGGGAAAACATCTGGCTTCACCCTGACCTGGTCATTGCAACCATTTAGGAAATATACCAGTGGATGGGAGATCTCTGTCTCTGTATCTCTGTTAACACTGCCTTTCAAATAAATAAATAAATCTAAAAAGTTGCAATGCAGGGCTGACAGTGGTGCAGCGGGTTAAGCTACTGATTGTGGCACCAGCATCTTATATTTGGGTACTTGGGTTGAGTCTCAGCTATTTGAACCAGAGGCAGCAGGTGATGGCCCAAGTACTTGGGTTCCTGCCACGCACATGGAAAATCCAGTTGGAGTTCCTGGCTCCTGGCTTTGGCCTGGCCTAACTCCGGTGTTGTGGACATTTGGGGAGTAAGTCAGTGAATGGGAGAAGAACGCTGTGTGTGTCTCTTCCCCCCACCTCTCACTTGGCCTTCCAGATAAATTAGGTCACTTGCACTTTGATTGTCAGCCAAGAACTAAGTGGAGTGGAA